TTTCAAGAGCTCTTTCAAGCTACCCTACAGTACCTGTGAACCGGAGGTAGAGGTTCGGTGGTGCCTTCCCTTTGAATTGAATCGAATCGAATCGAATTGAATCATTCGCTCATTCACTCGCAGACCAAGACCATAGTACTTAGAGATCCCCAATCCCTAAAGGACTACTGGAGTATTCAGCAGCTAAGATAAAAAGTAGAATTCTATTTAATTAAGGTACGACTGTCCACCGTGCCGCTACCCTAAACCGATAACCCCCACCATTCAGCAGCTCTAGCTAGCTGGAGTTGTACATCCAAAGCACAACGAAGGCACCCAAGCGCTGCAACGTTCACGTTGTCACTGGTACATGTACCTCGATGGATCACCACATGCGCTGTGCGTGCACTTGCAAGTCGAATTAGTCGACTTTATCACGGATGAAGCGCGGTCCTTCAGCTTCAGCGACCACGAGGCCTAAGCCACCGGGATAATGGCCCGGCGTCGGTCGGAGGAGGACAAATTTACGCCGACCGAACTGCCTTTTCGAGGGCGGAAGCAACCATGACCACTGCCCCTGTAGCGTTAGGTTTTTGCGCCGTTTGGGACATGTGGCTACGGCAAGCTACTAGTACTCGTAGTGAAGCTGATTAGTTTTTTGTACTGATACTATTGATGACGAAGTCAATGAAGGAGGGGACGTATTAGTATGAATACTTGATCTATGATTGGTTTGTGGAGGTTTCGCCGCATTGAACAGTTGCCAGCAACCCATCCCAAAGCAAAACGCATGGAAGTTGCGCTTTCCCATGAGCTGCAAAATCGATATCGGACTGCCAAAAAAGGTTCAACACAAGCAGACTTTGTGAGAGACACCTATAGCCACCCAGCTAGCCTCTCTAAAGAGAAACTGTCGTCAGTACTACAGTTCTTCAATGAGAAAGCGTTTGCTTTGTCCGTACGTGCGATCCACAACCATTCGTTTTGACGGTCTTGAGTGATCTTCGTCGTCGTCTGCATAGGCCACAAACTGATGTCCCTCGTATGTAGTAGACACGTAGGTAGATCCAGGAGAAACCGTCTCAATAGGAACTTCTTCGCCCGTATCTGCATTCAACCAGAAGATTCGGACGAATCCTTCCTTGAGTCGGCTGTGGAATCGAGCCATGGGAGGAGGCAAGTCTTCCCCTCGCAACATGGCAGCCACGGATGCGCGTACAGCTTCCATTTGGTTTCGATCAAGTTCCGGCATGGATGCGATGGAGACTGGGGAGAATTCGTGAACACTGGCGGTATCAGCAGCTAGAGCCGTCACCGAGACGCCACTCTGAACCAACCACTTGAGAACCACTTGCTTGGGTGTGAAGGCGGGTCCCTCTTCATTCTGGACACTCCGAGCAACTTCGTGCAAGGCACCCACAGCTCGGGGAGGAGCAATGCCTTTTCCAAAGATTTCAGAGAGCACATCAAAGGCTTGGAAGTGGATAAAGTTCTTGTCCAGATAATCCATAAGGAAAGGATCGTGAACAAAGGACCAGACAGTTTTCTGTGGGGAGAGGTAGCAAGCATACACATCAGATAACGAAATGGGATAAAACAGATAACGTCGTTAGGGTCGTTTCTCGTGGCTTACCTGAACGATATGAGGAAGGACTCGACTGTGCATATCCAGCGTGTGAAGATCCTCAATGCCAAAATTGGCCACGCCGATGCTTGCCACCGAGGCCAAGTTGGAGCCCAAGGACACTTCCCGAAGGAAAATCTCCTCCAAGGCTCTCCAGGAATCCAGAAAGGCAAAGTCTTTGTTTAAATGAGGAGGAGGTCCTGCTGCCTTGACATGGTGTGGCAGCTTCATTTCGTCTTGTTCGCAGTGCATCCAAGAGATGTCATCTCGACAACGTGGCCACTCTAGGAGTATGTGTACCTTTGTGTTTCGGTTGTGGATCTCCTTCAAAGACTCCATTACAGACAGCCTGGTACGTTCATACCCCAAGTGTGTGTAGGGTACCTTGGTGATGACATGGACTTCACTGCCAAACAGATGCGAGGCTGTGATGGTATTGACAATACCTATGTTCAGCCGTCTTTCATTGTTGTTGCGTTGTGCTGTGGTAAAGAGCCCAAACTGGGTGGTATTTTGCATGGCATCCGATATTCGTTGGAAAATGATTTCACCTCGAAGCCCATCAACCTCCAACCCCACCATGGGGAATTGTTGCCCCGTCTCTAAGGTTGTGGTGGGAACTTGGAGTTTATTGTTGTTGTTGTTGGCCTCTGCGCATTGGATCAAGCCGCAGAGGCAGGACAGCAGCAGCGCACACCATTGCAGCTGACTCGTCATGGCGAGCTTATTATTCCTAGTGAGAAAGGACGGCACTTAACTGTGTGCTTTAATAAGCGCGAAAGAGCAGCGCGGTAGTGTGTTGATGGTCGATGGTGGTTCCTTTGCTATTACTGTAAGCGAGAAAGCGAAGTTTTGGTTTGGGAAGTGCAGCTCACATTACCGCGGGCTGAAAAATGTGGGCAAAACCTTGTCAAACAATGCGTTCTATCCTTGGCATCTCACTTTTTCGCCCTTCAGTAGAAAACTGTACAGCTAGTTTTGTCCCGAATGGGTTTAACTCTTTGTAAGAAGTCAGGCTTAAAGGGGATCGCATTGTAGGATTAAAAGTATAAGCCAAGCGGGGAAGGGCTTTGGTAATGTGAACGAATGACTTTCAGGTATTTAACACTAGTGATTCCAGGGCATACTAGTAGGTCTTCCAACCTTATGGCTCACTATGTGGCTATGCGTGAATGGCTCAATTTGGAAACTGTAGTTTCAAACCAGTTCAGTCACAGCCAAAGCGCTGCCTCAGCACTCCGTGCTACAAAGTGTCTAGTAAATTTTCCTTGGCAATGCCGGTTTCTCAAGTCTTCTTATCGTTAAACTCAAGCTATTGTTTAAAGTCCTGCTTTTGGAAAACTGCGACTTTAGCTCCGATATTCTACGTCATCGGAAATCTGCGTCCCCTCGCATGTTTCGGTTCCGTAGGCTGTTATCATCGATGTTACTTACCGGTATCAACCTGAATCACGAGCTTCCATCCATCGGCCTTCCTCCGAGCCGACGAGAACTGGTGGTGTGGTGATCAAGTGATCAACGCACGAGCGAACCGACGGCATCCCGCAAGATCGTGGATCCTTTGCACCCAAGTTGGTACCACCATCCACCATCCAAGCAGGAAGAGCGAAGAAGCAATCTGTTCGAGTGGGTGGCCACGCATCAAGCATCCAAGAGAAACTGACGAAGCTCGTTTATAAGAATGAACAAGGAAATCAAGGCTAACAATTACAACGTATGACACATGAGCTAAAAGACATGCTTGTTGTTTGAAAAATTGGTTGCAAAACGATCGGCGGAAGCGACCCAGAACTTTGCCTTCCTTTGGTCTCTCGTCCTTCCCTTTCTGGCTGGCTTTCTAGTAAACGACCATTTGGAGATACCTAGTAGCACAAATGGTAAAAACAGAAAAACAGTGAGCAAGCTAGAGCAATTAATGGCCAACACACAACACACACAAGTTTTGATGCGGGACCAAATCTTGTCCTGGACACCAACAAGCGCAAAAAGGTTTGAACCATTGCCACAAACAGGCTGTCAATCGATGGGACCGACGGGCCAACAACCGGGGGGCTCCTAGTCGCTGGGAAGAGGTCAGTCGGTGTTGAAAGATGAAAAAGATACAGGTGATGGATCCTCCCTGGACCAGAATGCAAGTGGTTTCGCCATCGCGTGAAGAGCCAGGAAGCATCGTTCTTAATCCGTGCTAAGACGGGCTCCATTAATAGTAGAGGGCAGAGGGCCGCAAACAGTTTTCTGGACTTTTGCCAGTCTAGTTTGGGAACTCTAAACCTCGCCACAGCAGGAAGCCAAGATACCAAATATGCCGTTCGTCGTTGCGCAGTTATATCGTTTCCCGGAATACTGGTACATGAAAACTTCTCTCGTTTTGTGCTTGCCAATTGTGGCTACTTGCTTGATCTTGAACATGCCCCTGCCTCTCATGGTAGAGCAGAGCATCCCTCGACGCAAAAACTTGCTGGACTGGCACTATAGCTACCCGCACCCCCTCGCCCTTGCTTGTCCCATTTTGGCATGTTTTGGACCTGGTTTAAGCACTTGTGCTGCAACACCACAGCAAGTAAAGGCAGCAGCTATAATCCTTCAGGCTATTTTACAATAGTTCGCTTCTATTTGTACACACTGAAACCAAGCCTGCCAGGAGATCACGCCTCATCAAAGGAATTGACAATAAGGCCAGGATCGTTTCCTGTGCTTAGCAAGTTTCGTCCTTGACGAGGAATGTGCTGCTCAAGTGTTCCCATGTACATCTCCTTGTAGTTTCCCGTTGCTCTGATCATGTCCCTGAACAATTGCCTGTATTGGGATCCAAAAAGCTCAACGGGTGGCATCTCTGCAGCATTGCCTCGTGCAATACCGCTGCTTTCAGCATAGATTGTGCCCTGATGCACCCACCTCACTAGATCTGACCACTGCGGATCTTGTTTGCTCGTCATCATTGTTCGTCCAGCTCCGTCTGACTCAAAAAAGTATGCAGGGCTGAAGGTAAGCTTTTGGTTTGCTTCCAGCCATGATAGTCTCACGTATCCACCCACTAGGACATCAACATGTCCATCAGAAAGCGCTTTGAGTTGCGCTGTGGTGTCATTCTTCGAATTCCAATACTGAACTACTCCATCAACTCTGCCTGCAAACATGGACGCTGCAATGGCTTTGCAAAACTCAATGTCTAGCCCTGACCACAACCCGGAAGTCTCGTTGTATTCGGCGAAGCCCTTGCGTTCACTAGCCAAACCACAGCGAAGATGGCCTCTCTCTCGCACAGCTTCCATGGTACCATTTTCAATGGGGCCCGGTAACACATGCTGCTGCAAACTCTCGTCAATCAGCAGATCTCCAAAGGGATTTGCATACAAAACTCCACCCAGTTCAGGGTCTCCGTTGACGCTTATCCTATTCATACCAGACCGAGGAACTTTCTCCTCATAGTGGCGGGCGTAAATTTCTCCGTAGTTCCCTACAGCTCCAATTGCACGGATGAACATATCTCGATAGTCTTCACCAAAGCGGTTTGATTTGGGAAACATCCTTGCTGTTTCTTGGGTGATGTTGAGTGCATCTGCCGCGATGAGTGATCGAAGGATTAGATTGACAAAGTCAGACCATTCTGCATCACTCTGCCTTGTGATCATGGCCAGTGGCTCAGAAGACCATGACCCTCTCTCAGAGAACTTGTACTCTCCCGTGTAGCCATTCTCTCTGATCCTCTTTTCATTGATTTCCACATAGACTCCAGTCATTACCTGAACAAATGACAAATGAAAACGAGATGAGAGGTGCATAGGAATGGTGAAAGGAGCAAGTGACCGTGCGACTTACATTGCAGTTTCCATTGGCAAAGTTTTCGACCACAGCCACACCATTCTCGACAAGCAACTGTGCAGACCCTGGCATGAATTTGTCAAGCGTGTCCTGGCCTGTTGTGTGAGCAATGACACAGATCTGCAGATCCCGGCAAATGCCTTCAAAGCTGTCTTCCCGATCGACACAGTCAACATATTCTGGAATACCTCCAAACGTCATTTGGGAGAAGTAAAAGGGATCTGAGAAGGTAAAACCATGTCCGGATTCCATGTGATAAACGTCTCGCTCCATGTTGTTCGTGTTGAGTGTTGTGGATACATCCACTGTCCCATTGGCGATTGCTGCAAACTGCTGTCGGAACTGAATGATGGGAAAGGTTACCTTCGATGCGTCGTCAAAGATTGCCGCTGCCAAGGCATGACACTGCCTCGTTGGAAAGTGGATGACAGAGCAAAGAGAAACGGTCAGTTGTCTTGCAAAGGGTCTCTGCTTGCAGTACTGATTGTCTCCAACGTACCAAGTCAATAGTAAATCCAAAACCTTGCTTCACTTCAAAAGTCTCCGCACGACATCGCACAACGCCATTCTTCCTGATCGTTTCAAGAACAGGCTGAAGCCCCAGGATGGATCTGCCCCCTGCTTCCCTGTCCTTGTTGGTCTTTGAAGCTGCGATAGCTGCGAGAACAGCCGAAACCAGCGCTACTACTAGTACAAATCCAACCAGCTTCAGCATCTTTCCACCCCACCCGGAGGATCCATTGTATTCGTTTGCCTCTTGCTCCTTGGCTGGGATCGTGTCGCCCATTTCTAGGTCAACCACTCCCTGGGCGACAGGCACACCAGCTGCCAGTCGCTGCAACTCTGCTCGCAATTCTTGGTTCTCCTTTTCCTTGGCCTCTAGCTCGTCATCACGGTCCACAGCAAGCTCTGCTATAACTAGCGTCTCGCCAATCGGATCGGGGCTTGGACTTGGACTTGCCTCCTCGAGTTCATCATGGTTGCCTGCAGCTACGGTGTCATCCGTTGTTAATACTGTGGCGCATTCCCCGCCAATGCCATCAATAGCAAATGCTCCTGGGTTTGAGTTTCCTGACCAACGTAGTCGATTCGACAAATCCTCCGAAGGCAGTGGTGAGATACCGGTATCAGTTTGTTCTCCGATGAAATCCTCCTTTGCCATCCTTGCAGGCATCTCCATCGAGGCTTCTGTATCTGGGTCAGTCTTCGATGTGGCGACAGGCTTGAGTGTCGACAACTGCATGTCTTGGGAAAGCCGTATGCAAGCGTCCTCCGTCACGTTCTCAAGCCGTCTCTTTGTTGCGGATGCATCGCTCAACCAACTCATCCCTCCCTTAGCAACGGGCCGGGTGTCTCTGGTAGTAGCTGAGGAGTCCATCTCAGGTGTGTAATCGTTGGTGTTAGTAGCATCCAAGGCGTCTTTCTCTGACCCCGCTGTCATCGGCAGCGCCTGAAGTTGTTGTTTCTCGGCCTCGAGTTTAGGGTCCATCGTGGTTGTGGCTGTGAATGCCTCAGGTTTGAAAGAATGGCCTCGATCTTCAATCCGGCAGAACAATTTTATAAGACCACCCACAGCGGTACCGGTACGATGTACATGTGGCACTTATGGCGTGGTGCGGTGCTTTATTAGTCTACACATACACGTTATTGACACTGCCGATAGGGTACTAGTACAAGGTACGGTATCGTACCCAAGTTAAAGAGTACATGGTACATGACATTGTGGAAGTACGAGGTACTCCAAAAGTCCATTCCCCGCAACTCCATACATTTAGTGGCTACCCGCACCGGTACATGAGCGGTACCGTGTTATTGGTCCAACAAAGCCTCCTGATCTCCTTTTTTTTAGATGGAATTCTACACTACTAGTACAGACTTGGTTATAAGAAGAGCGTGATTGATGTCGTGTTTTGTGTGCACCGTACGGTACAGGGCAATCTTGCGGATCGGATCTCTGCTACTAGTAGGTACTAGCTACTAGTAGCTAGCTAGCACTAGTTGGTCACTCAGTTTCTTTCCTATGAGCCAGAAGACTACCGGTACAGCACCTACCATACAGTACGGTAGATACGTTTTCCATTCTCTATATGAGGCCAATACAGGTTAGCCTTTAGAAATAATGAAACTCCATTTTGGTTGACAAGTTCTCAAATGCCTTGAACAGATCAACCCTGGCATCATGAGAGCGGAGAATTTCAAATTTTGAGCATTTTGGTATCATAGGTATCGGTACCGGTACCGTAGCTAGTATTTGTGTGTTGCTACTGGCAGTGTTTCTTACAGACTGGAAGCCATATCATACATACCGGTATCTCATCGATGCCACGTCTCAATGTATTTGACCAAACGGAGCACTTGCAGACGCTAACAGCAAGCATAGTAGGTTCTTGAATACGAGGGAAGAGCGTATCCTCTGTCATGTCCTTTGCGACTGCGTTGGCTTTGTCATGGGGTCTGTACAGTTTTGAGTCTCATTGTCAGGTGCTTTCCAAAGAACCACGTCACTGAGTGGTCTACTGAGGCGTTGTCATGCGATTCGATTGAATCGAATCATTCGATTGATCATTCAGCAAAGCAGCAAAGAACCAATGGATCCTCGGTTGGATCATTGGATATTGGATCTGAGATGATCTGAGGTGGTACCGGTTGCACCTGCATTAGTAAACTCAATTTCCCTTGAGCTTTCCCTTGGAGAGAGAGCTCCCTTGGTCCATCTGGCTGACTGATGTGACTCATCAGTGCCGGGCTGTCTTTTCGCGATGTGCTTATCACCCTTATTTAATAGCCAGAGGCCAGAAGCCAGAAGCTGCCAGCGGCCAGCGGCCAGAGCACAGGGCTTCTACAAAATCTTTCATACCATTGCTCCCCAACAACCCAGGAATCGAATCGAATCCATTGATGAGCTTCACCTCTAGCTAGAAGTCAATGCTGCAGGTTGTGTCAAGCAATCCTACAGATTGAGGATTCGCTCCACTGCAGCGTACGGCAGTAGCTTTTCGTTTTGTGGCTTTTCTACATTTTGCATTTTGCCAATTCCCGCAACTCCACTATGTCCACATGCCTGCTACCGGTACAGTACCGTGCAACCTCTGCTACCCATGCACCCAGCACGCCACACTACATGTACAACTGCAGCCTTTGTTGTGCAGTAGAGAAGCAACTCGAACTCAAGAAAGACTCAAGAAACTCCGGAACTCCTCCTTGAATTGAAATTCTTGCAACAAAATGGTTGGTGTCTGCAGGACCTCTGTGGAAATAGGGTCATTTCGTGCCACGATTCAAAATGAGCACCGCGCGAATACGGCGACACGAATGAGTGACGTCACTGGTCTCCTATTTTATTTTCGAAAATAGAAGACGTCTCCTAAAAGAAATAGGAGACGGGACTCGTCTCCTAAATGAAAAGTCTAATTAGGAGACGTCTCCTATTTCTTCGAGGGATCTCCTATTTCTTTGAGGCGTCTCCTAAATCCGTAACGATCAGAGACGACGCAATGACCACAACAACAACGATACAACAACAACAAGCAACACTGATATAACCAGCAGCCACTAGCTAGTACATTCTACAATGATCGGTTGGAAGCTATGTGCCCTGTTTCCCTTTTCGATTCATGCCGCTCTTGCCCTTGACGTTCAAAGTGTGAAGGAATTTTCTTGTCCGAACTTCTTGGTAGATGTGATCTCTGAACACCTTTAATGGAAAATCATCATAATCCTCTCGATAGCACCACAATTCAGAAGGCAGCAGCTTGTCATGAAGCCCGTCATCAATATCTTTATTCAGCTGTTTCTGCGCTTTTGATCCCTCCCATTCTGGGTAGCCATGGGCGCTGTGTGTGTGTGAAATATTCATGGTTTTGAAGCGCTCGAACAACTCCAGGTCAACATTGGATCTTCCCATATCCCTTTTCACAATATTTCTAAGGCTTGATAATTGACTTGAGAATAATCTGTAGCCAGTTGTTGCAAATTCAGGTCGATTTGTGTAGATAGTTCTTGTTGACATTGCTTTGTCTACTTCTAACGGAACTACACCGCCAACTAGATCTTTGTAGAGCAGGCGGCGAGCTTCGCTATTGGCCCATTCATCGTCTTGTTCTGTTGGTATTTCCTCCCTGGGAACTTCTAACTCCCCGTCTTCTTCCACTGAAGGTAGAGCACTGCCTCTTCCCCGCCCTCGCCCTCGCCCTCGACCTCGCCCTCGCCCTCTTGCCATTGCTCCCTTGCGGTATGGTTGATCGATTGTGATTCGACGAATGTGTGACGTGTCTAGAGTTGAGTCATTCAAATGAAGACGATGCATATGCGCAAAAAGACTCCAATCGACTCAATAATGGTGGATCTTTGCACCGGCCTTGTTTGAAGAGCTGCCCTGCCAGCAGGTCATTGACTGAGTTTATACTGTTTTGTGTAGCTTTCAATGACCTTATCTGTAGGGGGCTGGCGATTTTGGGAAGGCCGACTCTCTTACCAAGAGTCTGTCCTCATTTCCACAGCAAAATTCTTCCGCAACAATGGTCACAACAAGAGGAGGCAACAAGAGTGGTTTCAAGTCCCCTTCTGGCAGGCAACGGGACGACGCTGCATTGGTTGGGATACCAGGTAGCAAGGGAAGCACAGCAAGTAGCAAGAGCTCTGGCAGTCGACCTGGATTACCGTTCACAGTTAGAAGACTGTTGCAAAAGATATCCAAAAGCTGGTTGGAGGAATCCATAACATATCAAAGCTTGGTGGCGAGAACTATATTGAAGAGCTGGCAAAAAAACTAGTAAGTCAAACAGATCCGTTTATGGAGAGCCTGGGGATCCAATCCGTAAGCAGATATCCAACAAGATCCAAGCAAAGGTGGAAGCGATACTCCAAAGACAAGTGGAAATGCACTACGCTAAAAGCTAGTGTAAAGATCTTTCGAGTGTTTTGAGTTTGAGAGAATGAAAGTTATGAGAGAGATTAGAAAGCTATGAAAACTAATCAACGAGAGAGATCATCATCAAAGGATCGTAGATCTGGCTTCCCGCGGGAGACTATAAAGTGTGATAGAGTAGGTTGTGGTAGTAGTCCTACGTCTCTCCACGATCCTAAAACGGAACGCGTGGAAGGTTTGTCTAGCCTGGATCTAGTAGCGTGGAAGTACTCCACGCTGGCTAAATATCTAGAGCGATGTTTCATCATCAACCTAGTATGACTAGCGCGGTCATTGAGAACCCTGTCTCAAATGACTATTCACGAGAGACTCAGTCATGAGTCGAACTCAAACCCTATCTAGGATCGAGTCGCGAATAAGGCTAAGAGCCGTGTATTGCAGCAACAACAATCAACTCACAATAAGTCTTCCAAGCCATCCAAGAAAATACCAGTTGTCACACCCGAATCACTATGTGCATCAATCACTGGCATGGTGAATGATCCAGCTTTCTGCGAGCAGCACAAATCCAAGAATGCCCCTTTAGCCATGCTTGCATTGGCAGAAACTGTAATTCGAGACATCATCGAACCAGGACAATTCGCCAAGCATTTCGATGGGCTAAGCTTCACGGTACCTGCCAAAGAGAACTGCACTGACCCACAAGATCACTCAATCACAGGGCAAAAGCTTCTTCTTGTTGACTGAATTCGATATGGCCTTGAAGTCCCCTGTCCTGAGGCGACTTGCACAGGAAAACTAATCAACCATCGAACAAACTTCTCCAAGAACAAGACACTGTTCCCAATCTTTGGACTTGATGGCCCACCGGCTTGGTGTATTTTCATGACTATGAATTGTGCCTGTTGCAAGAGGCGATTCGATGCTAACTCAGACCATGTTCTTACTGCGATTCCACCGTTTGCTGCGAATCTGTATCCAGTGCAGACCAAATACGCCCTCAAAAACAAGAATAGCCACCTTGCAAGAGCTGCAACAGAAGCCTTTGAATTGATCATGCTAACCTACGGTAATGGAGAACTATGCAGCAGGCTATTGTATGGGGCAATAACAAGGATTATGTAAGACGTATTACATCCTATTATTCGCTATGCAAATTCAAGAAGAAACTGTCGCCTGATTTCAAAGCCGAGGCTTACGTTCAAAAGGATGGTGGCTACATGCGATTGTATCCTCCACACGGGGAAACCATCAGAGACTCATACGATGAGTCATCTTCAAGTTCATACAACCCATGGGGCATAAGTGACCATGACCGGCACACAAGGGAGATCCAATCAGTCAAGTGCGATGAGATCTTCTGTCAAAATCACACCTTCCAAGCCGTCAAGAACTACCCAAAGAACATCGGCGCAGCTGCTGTGTGGGATGTTGGCACAGCAACAGGTGAAATTGCTAGTGCTGTTCTTGTGCCGAGCACTCAAACAAAACACCACAGTCATGCAGCAATGCAGATGGCAAGGAGAAGCGCCTTCAATCCAAAAGCAATGTATAGTGATACGTGGCCCAACAAAAAAGAGTACTGGCATTCTCTGTTTCCATCCTTGGAAGGTCGACTTGGATTGTTTCATTTCGAAAAGAGGATTATTGGCACAATGAGAAAGCGACATATCGATTACATGGATGCCATTTCAGATTTGTTAGCTTGCCTCTACGTTTACTCACCTGATGATTTCGAGAGGCTATTGCGATCCCTCAAAGACGGCTCATTGTGTGGAAAGAAACTGTCGACTGAAGACATTGCCAGCTTACAGGGAACGAAGCAATTCAGAGACCGGTATGCCAAATATCTTCGAAAAAGAATGCGCGAACCAAACACAATGATCTTGATGCTTGATGATTGGTTCCGTCGGTATCATGTACCAGTCAGCACAGAAGATGGACGAGGAAGGGTTGATCCTGTTCGCCGAATTCCCCTCTTCACCAGTGAAACAAGAACCGCTGTTGACAACTGCAAGGAAAAGGCCGTCTTTTTGGCCGATCCAATGCCAGTGGAAGACATGTATGATGCGATCTTGCCATCACCAAATGCCTCCCATAAGCTACCGGAATACCTCTCCAAACGGGGAGAGTCAAAGCTTGAGTGCTTCCATGACCGATTCGCTCACTTCGCAAATGGAGGAATGAGGAAAACGTTGGCTGACAACCTCAATTTGTGTGGCACAGCGCGGTACAATCTGGCCATCCGACAGAAGAGAAGGATAATGGCACTACCAAGCGAAGAAAGAACTGTTATTCCAGCTGGATGGGAGAAGGTTGTACCATACTGGAACCATTCGGAGCTCACCTTTATCAACAAAATGGCTGTAGATGTGGGTGCCATTGTGCCCTTCCCAAATGCCGAAACATTGCCACAGGATAATGGCGAGCGATTCTTTTCTGAATACTTGTATTTCAGGCCTGCAAAACAAACGTACAATCTGAATGATGAGTGCTTATGTGCAAGCTGCACGGTTCCAATCCAAAACAACAACAACAACAACAACAACAACCTACCGGCAAATTCAAATGCTCCAGCACGTCCCACCATCGCCAACGACACAACGACTATAACTACCGTGGCAAACAACAATGTAAGTACAGTTAATAGGGCTGATCAACGGCAAGCTGCGCCGACTCGCCAACAGCCACAACAGCGACGACCTCGACAACAACAACAACAACAACCAATTCAAATTCAAATCCAACAAACGTACCTCGCTCCGCTGCTTCCTGCGTTTCCACCAGCCTATCGACCACCACGACGTGGTTGCTGTAATCCATATGTTATGTGGTTGTCTCACAGGAGTGGTCGGCCTCCTCATGATCCAAGGTGCCGGTATCGGTTGCATGGGTATGCCGTCAATTAGCTACTAGCATCCTCATTGTACTAGTGTAATCATTATTAGATGCGTCTGGTAAAATGGAAAAGGTGCACCGGGAAGGATAATGAGAAACTGGGAACAGATTAGTGTAAACAATTTGAATTGAGGTCGTTAGATCCATTGCTGACACTTTTGATATCGTTTGCGCTTAAGAGGAGAGGGGGATGATCAAAGAGTTAATGGATTACTTACTTTCTTGCAATCTCCCCCATCCGTCTAAGTGTGTTGAGTATGCTGACTCGGTCATAAAGTCTGGCGGGCTTGAATGACGTGGAACATGGAATCTAAGTCTCTCCCTCCTCCTCCTCTTTCCTCCCCTCCGCCCCCCCCTCCACCATGCCTTACCCCCCTAAAAACCTGGTACCGGTACCCATGGTTGCAGTGGCAGCCCCGTTCGAAATAGTCTACTAGTATGCCTCAAGGGCAGATTTTGAATGTCAACAGCTCTACTGTTTTGATGAAGTACGTCAGTGCTGTCGCATCTGCATCAATGCAACCAAGAGTTGACTGCCAACAATACTCTAGTACCAAGCGTTGTATCTTGTGGAAACAAACCAATCCTCCAATATCGATAGCCAGCTAGCTAGTAAACTTCTGAAACCATGATCAAGTTTGTAACGACGGTAGCGTTACTGTTCAGTGCTGTCGATCCAGTCGCATCGTTTGCTGGTGTCGCGCCATGTAGGGTAGCAGCTCCATCCGTTGGCAGCCGCACGAAACCATGCAGTTTCCGATCATTCCGGTCCGTCCTGAGAATGAGTGACAATCAGACTCCCACCAGTAGCGAGGAAGAGAAGAAACAAGACGATGGAGTCATTGAGCTCGTGGATTTGGAGGAGGTCGTCGCAGATGCGTCGGAAAAGGAAGAAGCAAGTCCTTCCCAGGCAGCACCATTTTTGAGCCAAGGAGAAATCCAAGAAGAATCACTGAAAGTGGATCTTTCCGATCCCAAACAGACCAGAGTCATCATCTACATCATTCTATCTTTGCTGCCTGTATTGTTCTTGATTCCGTTAATGCTGGGATCTCGAGAGTTTTTGCCCGCAATAATTCCCATGGACGACCTTCCACCGGTTCAATTGTAGGAAGAAATTTATGACGCAACTCTTTCAAGCCAGCAACCAACCAACCAACCAACCAACCACACGATAATGCCCTAGGATCGGTTGAGATTTGCATGAAGAGGCAGCAACATTTAAAAACCCTGAAGCCACGCTGGGGATCTATGTATGTGAGGACCTCTTTTCCGATACATGTAGGATACGACGGTTTTAGCCAGTCATCGGTCGACGATAAGTCTTGTGATACTAGCTAGTAGCTAGTCACGTCTTAACTTTAATATGCTGAATGATATCTTTTATTCGGTGCCTGGGGAAACTAAACGCGTTGTACAAAGAATAGGGGGCTATCGCACTCTTCTGATTATGGTTGGAGTATGCAATGACTTGTCAAAGGGTACATGGCTTGAATTGCAGCTCGACTGCTGTTTGGGTCTCCAACTTCCGATCTTGGTTGACAAGCTTCATAAACCTAAATGCACTTCGCGGCCCAGATCGGTAAGTACAAGGCTGCCATCCGTTGACTCTGTTATGAGTCCCTCCTGTTTCATCTGGGACATAGCAGCTTCAAAGGTGGGATGACATTCACCATCATCACAAAGATCTTCATGAGAACGGTTGCGCTGGCGTTTGGGTTCCCTAGCCTTCAACTTGCCATCTTTGGTGAACCTCAGTGTGGTTTTAGACACCAATGACTGAGTGCCCCAATCAGACTGTTTTGGGTCCAGGTTCTTGCTCTTGCCGCCATCGTCATGATGTGCACACTGTCGTAGCGGGGACGGGAAACTTGTAGAATTCGACATGAGCATTACCCCTGGTGCATGCACACCAACGTCCGAAAAGCAAACCCGTTCTTCGATGCTACCGGTATCATGCGGTCCCATACCTCGTTCAATGAGCCCCCGTTGTAGCAAAAGCGAGACTACCGGGTCCCCGTCATCGTCACGTTGTTCGCTGAAGACGCTGACATGGTTGTCTTCGACATGATTGATGTCCGCACGAAACTTGATTGAGTTCTCTAGCTTCCCGTACGGGCTGTCCTTCATGGTGGAAGGCAATGTTTTCATGTTTTGCTCTGGATTCCAAGGGCGTATTGCAGTGCAGATTGTGCTCGGTGTGATCAAGCAAACCGTGCAGCTGATGATCGCCACGCTGTGGACAGCGTGGAATAAACCTCGTTCGTTCATGTTTTGCACGTTGGGTTTGGTTGGAATATCGAAATCTTTCATCGTGCCGTTACGGTGCAACGATGTATCCG